GGCAGCAGAGTGCAAATTACCCACTCCCGACTTGGGGATGTAGTGACGAAAAATAACAATACAGGACTTTTTCAAGGCCTGTAATTGGAATGAGTACACTTTAAATCCTTTAACAAGGATCCACTGGAGGGCAATCTGGTGCCAGTAGCTGTGGTAATTGCAGCTCTAATGGCGTATCTTAAAGTTTCTGCAGTTAAAAAGCTCGTAGTTGGATCTTGGGAATGAGCTGACGGTCTGCCACATCTGTCCCAGCCCCTGCCACCTCGGTGCTCTTGGTTGAGTGTCCCGTGGGGTCCGAATCGTTTACTCTGGAAAATTTAGAGTGTTCAAAGCAGGCCCGTTCAGCTGAATACCTCCGCTAGGAATAATGGAATAGGACACTATTCTATTTCTATTCTGTGGGTTTTCTCTCTGATCTGGGGTCATGATTAATGTAGCGCTGAATTAGCTCCATGGCTAACTTTAGCATTAGCGTGCAGTGGCACTTAAACTGCTATTATTGTTATCACTGTGAGCTCTCTTGGCAACTAGAAGGCTCTACACGGTACCATCATATATTCTCTGTTCAGACAGCAGTGGACAACTTTAACTGTGGTGTTGGTATTGTTCACATACACCAGCAGACCTCCTCTGTGCTTCTTACTCTTTGTTCCTGTCCTCTCTGAGGCCGTCTAATTCAATCGCAGTGTCTGGGGTAAAAGAGTCCAGCCAAGTCTCTGTGATGATCATAACACAGTAATCCCAACGGTGTGAGGTGATCCGCAGTTGTTGTATAGTGACCGTGAATTGGTGAGGAAGAGAGTCAGAATAGTCAGTCTGTGTGAGTTAGCTCTCAGCTTAGTCCTCAGCCCCTGCTCTCTTCCCCCTCTTCTGTTTCCTGTGCCTCTGTCGCCTACGCCAGCGGTCCCCAACCTTTTTTGCCCAACAATATTTTCACGCCTTTAAGGTGTCGCGGATAAATACAACAAAATAAAAGTAGTACCTGTACCGAAAAAAAGAAAATTTATTCATAACACACGTGAAAAGACCCAGGAAAACTGAGTAAACGATAAAAACGATAACAAAATAACGCTGAAAACCGATAAAACCCCTGAAAACTATACATTTCACACCTGAGCCTCAACTCTCGCGGCC